CTCTTCCTCTTCCTCATCCACATCTTAACCCATGCACTGAGATTCCCAGATGATACTTTATGGATAAATTTACTGCCAGCCCTTTGAAAGTTAGCACACTGAGTGCTGTATTGATTAGGGTCTTGAGTGCTTTGCTCTGTACACCTTTAACCCATTAGATTTATCAATATGTGCAAATAAAGGCCTAAGAAAAGCAAGTAATTATTGCTAATTAAACCTCCAGTTGGGAGTAACGTTCAGCTGAGGGAGGTGCTTGGACATCAGCACAGGGTATTACACTTACCCTTGCTCTACTGAGAATATTCAAGCCTTGAATTAATCAAGGTTGCTGGATGTAATAGCAGAAGTTGGCAGTCTTGGTTTTGATTTGGATCAAATTTTGGACTGTACTTTGGCCTTTGGTGCATGTGGAAGGAACTCTGATTAGAGCTTTGATTTCAAAAGCACACACTATAGAACACTGAAAACCAGGAGAAAAGCCTTTGTCGGGTGATATGCTTTCCTCAGTTCTATGGATGCCTGGATGGCATTCCTTTAAAAAACAAAAAAATTGAAATACAGATGAAAAATTTCTTCAGACTCCAGGAATAATGTCTGGAGCTGCGGATGGGAGCCAGTCCCATTGCTTTTAGTTCTGCCTGGTGTTCCTCTGGTCATTAATGATCAGCCCTCTCCCAGCATAGGGAGCTTCAAAGGTCTTCAAAAGACACTGGCTCTTTCCTTATTTTGGATGAAAGGAGGGGTAGGTAGGACTGCTTGCTGCCAGGACTTCAGTTTCTAAGGTGGCAAGTCTTAAATGCAGGGGTTTTTTTCTGTGAATTTGAGGATCTGAAAGAATCCTTGGTCATAATCTTGGGTCTTTCACATCCTCTCACCTTCCTCTGAATTTTAGGGTACAAAGCCTATCTTGCAGGTCTGAAAAAGTCATCCAACCTTGAGTTTGGCTGCTTGTATTGATCTCTTGCTCACCAATGACTTAAAAACAAGTCCATTTACTTAAAAACAAGTCCAGTTGTTGTCATCTGACAGAGGCAATTGATTTGTGTGGGAGGCAATTGATTTGTGAGCTTCTTCCCTGCTTCTTTAAAATCCTTTTTTTCTTTCAAAGGAAAACAGGCTGGATTAATGGGTAATGAAAGGTAAATACATTTAGAATTCATGTAAAACTCACTTTGAAGGATAAAAAGCAAGTGTCACATGAGCATTTATGCAAACATTAAAGCATCACCAATATAAGCATTCATAGGTAGCATTATCTCATCTCAAACCTATTTAGGGTCTTTTTTATTTCAAGAAGGAACTATAATGATATTTTTGGAAACTGGATTATAGACTAGACACATTGAGCAAGATGAAATCCACATAAAACCTGGTTCTCTGTAAAGCTTATGCAACAGGTTTGCAGCCTTCCACAAACTGTTCCCATGCTGAATGTGATACAGCTTTGTATAACAGGAGTCTTATGTCATCTCTGCAATTTTTAAAGCAGAACTGGGTAATCCATGAACAGCACAGAAAGGGCATTAGAGCCTAAATGGGAGGCTAATGACTACTGATGGATTACTGAATGTCGGGTTTTGAAGCTCTCAGCATGGTCGCTTGCCCTGTGAACTGGCATCTCTTTCAAATAACCAGCTCAGCTCAGGAATTAAAGGAAAAGCTTTGCAAGAACTTCCTTGCTGCAACGGGATTCACATTATTGAATTGGGCATGTTTTCTTTCTTGTGCAGACCACTCAGATACTGCAGAACATAAAATTCTGGTAATAAACCCAGTCCTTGATTAGATATTTAAAATACATGGTTGTCTTACTGTTCTCCCCTGAGGAGTGGGGTGCTTTGTACAAGCCTGCCTGACTGTGCTTTTCCTAAGTGCTTCAAGCACATGACAAGGTAATTTAAAAAACCTTTTGGGTTGAGGAAGAGGAAACTTCCAAGAAGCAGGTGAGAAGGATCTCAAGCAGAGTAATTAATTGTTGTGGCTCTCCTCATGCAGTCAGAAGTGGCAGCTTTCTGGTGGCTCTTTCTCAGGAAGGGGAATGCAGAAGGAGCCCTCTGCTCTCCAGCCAGACATGGTGTTTTACCACGGGGAGCCAAACACCTGAAAGGTCTGATTGTGATTCAGGCTTTTTCTGATAGAAAACCTTCAAAATCATGCTAAGGTATTGAAGCTTATTTCTGAGACAGATTTTTATTTAAATCTGCTGCTTCAGATTTTACTTTCCCCTCCTAAATTGTGTTGTCCTTCACAGGAAGTGTCAGAGTGCTCAGTTACGTGCCTTGTCATATTTGATTGTTTGCTAAAAGGAAAGAGAAGAAAATACATGCTAATTCTGATTTCTGCAGCCAGAAGCCTTTGGTGTGTATTGGGTAATTATGTCTGTTGTAAAGGTTGTGAAGGGGTTTCTTCTCCCTCAGCAAGAAACATTTCTGTATTCACTTCAAAGACTGCTGGCCTTTTGTGTCACCTGTGAAAGCATTTGTACTAATGTCTTCTCCCCAAAGTGAAACTGTACCTCCTTCCTTTACTGTGAGCTGCTACACTTGGTACCTCCAAGGGTGGACCATTCCTCCATTCTTCAACTTCTACACCATATTTTTCCCCAACAACCCTTTTCCTACTATTGTTTTCTTTTTGCTACATCTGTTCCTCTTTCCCACTTCATGCAAAAGCACATTAATCGTTTAACATTTGTACCTGTGGCTGAAAAATGGCCTATTCAAAGCTGCTTTTAGCTGAGCTGTAAATACTGAGCAGCACATCCACTGGTACCTGTGGGACACCACTTGTGAAATACTGCTGCTATTAAGTGCCCCAGGTTTGCATTTGGAGGGTAGTGGTGTGTTGCTGCACACTTTGGGATGCTCAACCCATGGATAATGGGCCCAAGAAATGAACAGCAGAATTAGGGAGAGAGGAGACATGATTCAAAATGCGTGTAGCACATGCTGGTATTAAGCCCCCTTCTATTTATTACAGCCTTGGGACAGTGCCTGTAGCATGGGATCATCTTTTTGGAGTTATGAAACCTGAAATATTTTGCTGTAAGTGATGGACACTTTGGCTGTGTCACACACAGGTGATTCCAAAGGAAAAATTTTGGTTTGTGGTTTTGGGGGTTTGTTAAGGGAGAAAAACAACCAACAACTCTGTTTTGTCCTTCATAGCTGAAAACTAAGAGGACAGTGATTAGAGCTTTTACCTAAGACAAAAAATTAGGAAAGCTGCTTTTCTGGCCATTTTATCTCATAGCAATAAATCTCATTGAGCTGAGTGCATCTGCCCATATGGATGTGGCTATTCTGAGACTAAAAACCTTTACACAGTGCTATTGGTGCTTCAGACCTAGGTTCCAGGCTCTTTTTGCTCCTGCAAAAAGTAGTTACATTCTGGTGGGTGAATCTGTAGACATCAAATAAAACATCAAATGCCAGCCCCTCATTATAGTTTGATAAATGGGTGTTAGCTGGGGGAAAGTATGGCCATTCTTTTTTTAATGAAAAGAAAATGTCTTCAAATATTCCGTTTCTGGTAATACAGACTCTATTCAATGTGTTGTCTTTTGAAAATCTAATTCCAATTCTAACCAGTGTGGGTTTTGTTATTTGAACTTAGACTCTTGTTTAAAAATAAAAAGTAGGTAGCTTGGAGTTTAATGCAACCAGGCCAGTAAATAAGAATAATTTTTCAGCACTTCTATCTCTCCATCCTCCCCATCCACAGCTCCTGAAAGTGATCTCTTATTTTTATTGTCCCTTACAGATGAGCTTATCTTAAGTTATTATACTCATTTTAAGGGGGTGAGGGGATGGTCCAGACAGCTGTTACAATCTTCATCCTGTTCATGAAAGATCCAAAGAACAGTATCCCATTCCTGGAAGCTCTAGAGCTTCGTTTTTCATTTTGACTAATTGTTTTGTGGAAATAATGAGCAGCAGTGACTTCACAAATCATGGTCTCCTGGCACCCAGATCATTAATGACTCACTGTATCTTTAGCAGCAGTTAAAAATATGCTTTTCCACACTTTGAACAAGTCCTGGTAGTTTTGCTCACAAAGGAAGTGTAATGTGTGGTGGGAGTGAGTGGAGATATATTTCCTTATCATTTTCTATTCATGACCATTCTGAGGCACGGAATCCAAGGCAACCATAAACTAGCAAGAAACGAGAGGTTGCATTAGAGGTCTGGTCCAGATGAAAAATATTGTCTGGTGTGGGTTTTTTTTGACATGGATAGTGACCTTCTTGCCTCCTCCTTAATTCCTCTGCAGAGATGCAGTGCAAGGACCACTTCATGTTTTTGAGGCTCATCTGCAGTGGGAGAACTAAAATTAGTCCCCTGTTCTGGAAGACTCTGGCTTTCTTGGAGAATTCGTGGTGGAAATTTCATCAGACACGTTCTTGAAGAGCAGTGCTGGTGGACAGTGGAGGGAGGGGAGAGCATTATCCCACCTGAGATAACCTTGGAGAGGTTTCCAGCAAGGGAAATCCCTCAGGACTCCTCTCAAGTGGTTCACAGGCAGCTTCATTTTCATCCCTGCTTGTTTTTTCTTGTGAGGGCAGGTGGTGCAGGGCCCCTCACTGTCTGAACTGCAGGTGCATCCCTGAAGTTGCTGCTGGGGATTGACCTGACTCTTTCCAGCCCGAGCTCTGTGACTGCACTCCCCTTGGATCAGCTCTTGGGAAGATTGTGTGATAGGAAAAATACACTGAGGTTAAGAACAGAAATCCACATCTGATGTTGTCTGTCCCTATTTTATTGTTTAAAATTCAGCCTGAAAATTGTCGTAATCCCTTTGCAGTAGCACGGGATTCCGAGAGTGGATTCAGTGTTCCTTCTGGAAAACACCTCTGGGATGTTTTTCAGCCAGGGTGTGTTGTTCTGGTTTTATAGCACACCCAAAATGTATTAGATTTCTTTGTGTGACTGCCTGGCTTTCTTAAAAAGTATAGTAGAAGTTACTGTTTTGAAAGTTTTTCTTTTTCTGTTGCTTTTTAGGTGCAGGGGATGCTCGTGGTGCCTCCCCTGCTCTGCTGCCACACAACCACAGAAAACCCAAACCACAACCAAACACTGCCACTGCATTGGTTTGAAATGAGGAGCTGAGGTCTGTAATGTCAATTGAAGGTATTTTATCAGCATTTAATTACAGTCCTTTGTTAAGTGGCTGCATACAGAAGTAGCACAAACCCATAAAATGGTAATGCTGAGTTCTCTTCAAGAACTTGTTTATTGGGGATCCAATCAAAGGAGATCAGAAATGCCAGATTCTCTCCCTGGTTATTTCAGGAGCACCATATTACCAATACCTTTTTCTTAACTCAGGCTGATATTTTAGAAATATCTTTACATGTCTGCAGCTTGTTTCCAGAAATGTTAATTGGGCTTGTGGGATGAAAGGCCATTCCAAATGTAAAGCTGCTTCCCAGCACTCTTTATCTCAGGACAATCCTTTTCTCCAAGGAAATTAAGGCACAATTTATAATATCCACTATATTACCAAGCCTACAGCAGAGCAGAGTGAATGCAGGGAACCCAGCATGCCACCTTTTTTCTTAGAACCTTATAACTGTTTATCAAACTTCATTTTCAATTTCTGAGCAGATTTACCCTTCTGAAAATGAAACTCCACTTCTGGCTTTGCCTCAGGCACGGAGCAGACAGGTCCCAAGGGTGTTGTGCCTGCACAGCATCCTGGGCTCTGGTCTCCCTGCAGATGCCCTGGCAAGCTCTGGGAATTTAATCCCAACAGTTCTCTGGTGGATACAGACAACAGCTAACATGACTTGAGCCCAGCTTTGCTAATTAATGTATGATTTTTTTAAAAAATCTCCAGAAGGGAGATGAAATGACGCTTTTGGAGAAGCAGTCATTTGGGTTTTGTAAACCCCACTGAGTTCCATGTGTGTTGTAAAGGTTTGAGAAGGAAGGGAAAAGCAGGAGTGCCAAGGTTGGCTGGTCAGTGAAAATCCCTGTTAGGCATTCAGCAGGGGGTCAGATAAAAGCAAGCTTAAAGAATGGGAGGAAGTAAACCTGAGAACTGAATTATTTATTGCTGCTGCAAAATACTAACTCCTGTCTCCTAACCTTAAAGAAAGATGTAATAGGCATGGAAAGGTGTAATAGGCATTAGCAGGCTTAGCAGAGACCTGAAAATCCTGCAGGCAGACAGGGAAGGCAAACAGACATTCCTTGTTCTCACTGGCATTTTTGCCTTTATATGCAGACCCCTTTCTTCCTACTAGCCCTCAATATAATCCAAATCTTTCCATACAGTTTCCATTACCTCCCAACCCTTTCACAGGTAAGGACTTAGCTTCCCAGGAGACAGGGGGTTTGAAAAGCAAGATATTTAAACCAAAACCAGCTATTTTTATCACAGTGCTGCACAGTTGTCCTGGCTTTGTTAGCACCTTTTGGTCAAGAGGGCAGCAGAAGGAACAGCCATCAGTACAAACCCCTAGGCTTGGCAGGATTAAAAATCCTATGCAGTGTTTTGATGCTTGAAAAGAGAAGAAGCGCGTGCATTTTAGAGACACAGGTCCACTCACAGATTTTACTATAAATCCACTTGAGGACAGCTGTCTAAAACCAGGCAACAGCATTTGGCACTGCACATCATCCTCCCCTTCCCTGCTTCTTTAGGAGGGGTGGCTCTGGGTTATGTAATAACCCTGTTCTCCATCTCATCTCCCTGCCTGAAATCACAGCAGCATTCTGTTTTCTTTTATCTGCGAGCTGCTACGTGACTTCTTCTCCCACTCAAGAGCTGCAGTGAGAAGGCAGGGGGTGGTGGTGAAGACAGGAGTGGTGTCCCTGTGCCCTCGTGGCCACCGTGTGCCAGGCCAGCATGAGGCCCACGAGGCAAAGTCCTTGGTGCTTAGATTGGTCTCCCAGGAGGAAATCTTTAGCCTGATCCCAGGAACAGGGAGGAGGTGAAATACATTCTATTTCTCACAGTCCTACAGCAAGAGCAGTGACCTTACATCTGCCAAGGGATGTCACAAATGGGACATTTTTGTCATGCAGAAGAAGCAGGCTGTGGCATTGCAGATTTACCACGAGCAGACACGTGTCCACTCTGCTGAAGGCTGGTGTCCTAACTCTGGGTGCAGGCCCAAAAAAGAGGTGGAGAATAAAAAAAAATGCACAATAGAATAAAACTGCTGTTGTGGAGAATAAAAAACAAGAGACTTCTCCTCTACTTCAAAGGCACAGAAAGCTAAATGAGCCATTCACATCATCTCCATTTTCCTCAGGAGAAGTGGTTAAGGTCTTTTATTGCCTTCTTCTCCCCTTGTTCACGATGAGAAAAAGAGACAACTAATTAAATATCTGATGTGGAAGAGCTGAAGCCTTTCTTTGTGCAGAAAGATTCTCATGTGTTTATTTTCCTATTCAGTTTTCATATGCTGAGTGGATTGCTTATTAATTGTTAAATGACTGCTGTGCAGCTCAGTTATGGAAATGATTTCTACTTCAGCACCACTTGCCCTTGAATTGAGAATGGGAGGTCAACCAAAATTAGATAACTTCTCTTCAAACCCTTTATCTTTCTGGAAAAAAAATATGGTTCAAACATGATGCCTGTCAAGAGGACTGTGAAGTTCCAGCCTTAAAACAATCCTTGTGGCCAAGCTGGTTTGGGGATCATATTGAGAATTGGTGTCCTGCTCTGTCCTGATGAGACCTTTAAACAGATTAATCCAGGTGTGGCGTTGAGTGTAGTGCAGAGCAGGTATTTTATTGCCCACATTCATTTCTAGAATGAATTGTGAAATCACAGATTGAATAAAACAAAGTTGTATTTTAACTGAGGCAAGGAGAGCTGTGTGGGCAGAGCAGGCAGTCCCTTGGCTGCAGTGAGATTCTGCTCAGACAGAAATGTCCTCCCACACTCGTCCCTTCAGGGTTGCACCTCCAGCTTCAGCTTTCACTGTGAGCCTTTGCTTTTCACCTTACACAAGAAAAGAGGCTGAAAAAAAGAAAAAGGAGTTATGTATTACGCAGCAAATAATACCAAGGACATATTCTGTGGTTTGAAAAAAAAAGGCAAAGGAAAATGCAAATCTGGAACTTTTCCTTTATTTTCAGAAGAGAACTGTATTCCTCTGGTGTCTCCCTGCTGGCACATAATGCTGATATTTCTGTGCATTTGATCTGAAGGTCACTGAGGTCAGTGCAGAGATTCTCAGTATCTTCAGCAGACTGCACCACACTGAGCAGGAGCTGCTGTTTTGCTGATAAATCCGGGTGTGATGCCTGTCCCCAGGCTTTGGAACAGCAAGAGCAGCAGTGTTGGAGGGGCTGTAAACCAGGCTGGACTCTGAACACGTGGCTGCCCCCTTTGCTGTGGAAGGGTTCTCATGGTGAATTGAAAGACAGCAGTTTGCATTCTAAAAGTAATGAGGAAAAAATACCTAAAATTATTTAGACTGGGTTGGTTTTTTTTTAAATTTGGCTTTTTTGTCCCCTTGTAAGTTCACACACTCAAATTGCAGAAAAGAAACAAATATAGTTATTTTGGTCCCACTGAGGAGACGTGTTTGCAGTGGCCACATAACTCTGAGTAGATTCTCTAGTCCTGATAAGTTCTGTTTTCAGATCATCAGAAAGGTTGTGGATAAATGCCATAAAAGCAGCAAAAATAAAAAGTCTGTTTGGTCTGACTGCTTTGTATTGTTAAATATTTTAAGAAGGAAAGCCCAGCTGAATGCATGCTAGACTACAGGCATATTTTCAAGCCTTTGGAACCCTGTTTATGTATTTTTAGATGAGCAGTTCTGTCGAAATGCCAGTGACTTCTCACCATCCATTTCAAGGTGTATTTGCTTGTAATTCCAGATGTGTGGGCTCAGTGTGCCAGGGACAGAGGGTTAATGTTTCTGGAGAAGATGGGGATGCTGCTGGTGGTGTGTGCCTGTCTGTTGTGCCAGCCTTGTCTCTCCCTTCTCTGATGGTGAAATGCCCTGCAGCAAACATTGCCTGGCATTGCTGCTTGCTGAACACGGCCAGGAGAGCAGGGCTCAAACAGCTGCCCTTCAAAAATTATGTCTGAAAAATGCCATTTTGTGGGCACAAAACATATTTGCTGTAGCTGGGTCATGCTGATCCCAGAGCTTAGGTGAAGAACACAGGGACACTTGAAATAGGGCTTTTTGAGGGCATTACCTGTTGCCATTAAGACACATAATCAGCAGAGGGTTTGCATGGCCTTTACTCACTACTTGCAAAACTTGCAGCAACCAAAATAAACACCTTTGTACTTTTAGTTCAGCTCTGGGTGTTGAAGTATTTCAGCAACAGGACCCACCTACCCCTCATGTGCTCTTGTTTCAGGCAATCCCGGTGCTTTTCAGGCCACAGGGCAAATGTGCAGGGTTCAGAAAGGAGGGTTTTCTACACATCTTACTCCAAAATGCTGTTTCAGAGTCGTTCTAATCTTTGGTCTCTTTGAGAAAACCAGGTATGGTCTTGACTGAAACTGACTGGAGAGGAAAAGCCAAGATCTTTTGGCCTTTGCCATCAACGGGAGCCAGCATTGTCGGCTCTCATGGAAATTAATTGTTTTAGGGTTACAGTATCAGCAATGAAGAGAGAGGGACTTGGTGTGATGGTCAAAGAATCCAAATTTATTGTGAAGTACAAATGCTTATATACTATTTTAGGAAGGCTAGCAATGTTTTACTACCATTGGGTTAATCATCACATAAACAAACTTATACATTTTAAACATCTCTTGCTTGCAGAAGTCTTGATGTAATTTTCTTTTTCCAGTAAGTCAGTTTGATTGAATCTTCTTGCAATCTTTATTTAATCCTCAAAGTTCTGTTTGCCATTGTCAAGGCATCCTGTTATCAAAACTCTTATGCTAACCAGGTCCAAAGTCCATCATGTGTCTTGTGTCCCAATAGCCCAATATTACAGAACCATATAATAATTTGGGTTGGAAGAGGATATTCATTTTTACTCAGCTTTTATATTTGGGCAGGACATTAATGGATTCCTGAGTCATTTATGTAACACATAAACATGAAGGAGCTGTGGAGAAGCAAGAATGATCTCTGTTACTCTGTTTTGGGGCTGCAAACCAAATTATTCAGCCTGCAAGCCAGCAGTACTCACAA